CTATAGTTTTCATCTGTATTTTAACTATATTTAATTAACGTTTGTTAACTATAGTTTACGAATGCTAATTTACGTTTATCTGTCTGTAAAAAACGTTTACAATAGATTTTGTTGATAAACATAGATTCACGTCTGTAAACTATAATTAACAATCGTGAACTATAGTTTAGAGTTGTTAATCATAGTTTCACAAATCGCGAAACTATATTTATCAGATCGTTTACTATAGTTAAGAGTTGTAAACCATATAGTTTACAAATTGTGAAACTGTATTTATCAGATAAACTTTGTTTTGCAATCGCAAATGATTGTTTTCAGTGTTAAGTATAGTTTGCGGTTCTGAAACATAGATTATCGTGTATATATGGTTTACAGATGTAAAATATAGATTAACGTTGTTTTAGTTTACAGTCCGTAATCTATAGTTTACAACCGATAAACCTAGTTTATCGACTGTGAAACTATGATTAGCTCATTTTTTTGAATTTGCCGTGCCATATTCAGCACCTCTTTTCACTCACACTTCAACAACAATCGATTTTATTTTTTTAAATTTAAGCTTGTAAGTAAAAATGCTCACATACCAACAGGAGCCGTGTCGAACACTCTTAGGTCGTACTTCCCGTCATGCCCCGCCCTGTACCGGAGCTCCCGCCCAGAGTCCCAGATCACGGTCACCTTACTGTCGTTGGTTCCAGACTTAGGGACAAATATTATGGTCCCCAGGAAGCCTTCTCCGTTATCCTGCTTTTTGGAGGCCCAGTCCGGACCCCTGACGACTCGGGTTCCGGGTTTTATCTGAGACAAAGGGTATTTTAAATATGTGTGTGATGTGGTAAAAAAAAAAAGATGTGCATATGAAAAAAAGATTTTTTTTCTAGTAAGTAACGATTGAATTTTTTAAATGTAGTTAAAAATCCATGGTCAAGAGTTCACAAAGTTAGAAACTGGGAAAGAGTTTGTAACAAGGAATACATGAATATGAATTCGGTCTTGTAGTGCCAACTACTCACAAAATATAATGAATGTTCTTTTTTTCAAAAGAACGTCCAAGATCAAGGTCAATAGGTCAAGTACGACATATCTTATATTGGCACCCAAGGAAGCAAAGAATACACAAGCGAAATTTGAAAGCCCTAACTCAAAAGTTACGGGCAAGATTAATGTTTTTGCGGACAAACAGACAAAAAGTTTACCAGACAACCAGACGGACAGAGCAAAAAACTATATGCTTTTCGGGGACTGAATCGTAACAGCAACATCAAATTATCATACAGCGTTGAGAACAAACTAAGTGCTATCGACATAAGACAGTAATTCCAATACTAAGGTGTTTGCCTTCAATTGCACTCATTTTCATTTCTGGGTAAAAAGGGAGATGCCACAATTGTTCTGTAAAATTTTTTTTAAGTTGTGGTTTTCAACCCCCAAACACTTCCAGAAGGAATCGAATCATTCAGATCTACAGAACACATCCAGGCATCTTCCAGCATACGTTTGGCTACTGGGGAAAATGAAAGAGTTCACAAAACTGAATTTTGCAATAAAATGGCTCCACAGTGAAAAGTCAACTTAAACTGAACTTATAGTACATCTACATGATAATGCCAATAATATTCAAAAAAGATGAATAAGTTAACGGACAGTATATATGAGGACTTCAAGAACCAGATTTTTAAGAAAACCGTCTTTTTTCATCCCAACCGCTCAAATGGTAATTAAATTGTATTCCACAAGCACTTGTTTCAGTAACATCATAAAAACACTTATTATTTTCATACGACGTTTTTAACAGAAACAAGTGTCTATTGTTTATTTTATTCGATACAATGCCTAAATTATTGAAAGGGGTTTACAATCAAATTTCGCAGAGAAGGCCCTGTAACCACCCTACAAAACAAGGGATAAAGTTAGCTTGGGACCCAATTCTTAAGATTGTAACAAAGACTTTATAACTTTTTTTTTTACATATTGTTCACGAATAGGAAAGACAATTCAAACTTTTGGCTGACAAGAACAGACCTGCAATAACTATCTTTCACATATACTCATTCTTATGATTTTTCTTTATTTTTGTTTTCTTTTCTTTTATCATCAAAGTGAGTTAAATCGTCTGAATGGTAATTCAGCGGTAACTCCTCCCCATTTGTGGGCGAATGATTAAGTATCAAGCGCGGATCCAAGATTTTGCATTTTAGGGTGGGCAATATTACATGTATATACAAAATATAATACTTGATTGCCAGTGATCTGGGAACCGACAAGATCTAAATTATGCAGCCACATGTATAGGGCATTGTCTGGAGGGGACAGGGACAAAGTTCATACATGCATGTTCTAAAGAGAATCAGTAATTAGTAAGGGATCTTTTAAAAAGCTTGACTCATTTTACCATTGTATCTATGACCGTGGAAACTTTAGTTACATGTACCTGATTTTTTTCTTTTGTTTAGGAGGGAAGCCTGGGGCATTCCTCTTAAATTTGCATCCATTTTTTTCTGTCTAAAATTTATTTCATAAATAAAAATATAGATACATAAATTGCGTTTATGTATGCGAAACCGAAAGTACATCATTTCTTACCAGATGCATTAATTTCTTACGTCGTTTAATTAACTTTTCATCAAAGGGTTAAGAATAAGAAATTTTATTGAGTAGTTTAAATCATTATTTTGAAAATATAAAATGGTTCTTACCGATGCCATTTTTGCTTTACTTTCTCTTTTGGTAGGTCATCCCTGCAAAGTATAGTATGTTATGCCGAGACTAGGTCGTTTCCTCCACGCATGACTGCACAGATACGACCGTTACCCCCCTTTCGTATATCTTGATAAATAATCTTATTTTTACGCCTGTTTTCCATTATCAATTTCATCGTTTTCATATTCAATTTACCTTACAACTAGCTAAAAAATCTCAGAATCTTGACATCAAGCTTTTTTTTTCAATTATAAATAACAAGGAAAATTATACACTTGTCTATATTCTAATGATCCAGTTCAATTTTTGTGAGGTTTTTTTCAGTAAAAACCAATCTGCCCTCTTATCTAAAACAAGTAGATTGAAATCTATAGTACATGTATATAATTTTACTCAATTTTGATTAAATATAAACAATTTTAATTAAAATTTTAAATGAATTAAATAATCTATTTTGATGTATTTACTCCATTTCAGCACCGCAAGTATGAATGGTTTCTGTTCAATATCATTTTCCCCCAAAAGAGAAATGACTACTGGTATCCTATGTTGATTATTACATAAATTATTCACAATAGTAACAACATTTTTAATATGTCTATAAACATTTTACTAATACCTAGAAGATCTTTATAGAGGGACGTATTTATTGACACACAAAATTTTATGACAAATAAATTTATCTTCCCCCACTGTGTTCTACTTCCTTAACTTGAATTGGACATAAATAGAAATCTGTTTATGTGGGTTGAGTGAGAATTAGATGATTATATTTTATTTAAAAACTGATTTCATTGGGAAGTGTACTTCTTTTTCCAGTACAATTTATCCATGTATAGATATGAGTACCTAAGGAAAAAATATATTTATCAAATTATTAGTTATGATTTTCACGAAGATTTCATTTCTTTATCGATGACTTTAAATTGCAGCAACACAGAGAAAATGAACGTTGCACATGTCTGTTGGGTATACGTTATAAGTTTTTAGATTTTATCATAAGTGTTTTGAGGAAATGTCGGCTTCCCTTCCAAAACATAATATAATAATTATTGAAGAGAGAGAGAGGGGTTGGTTGTTTGTTTGTTGTTTCACGTCCCTCTCGAGAATTGTTCCCTCATATGGATGCGCCACCACTTACGGTGGAGAGCTACACATTTTGTTTTATAGTCGGCACTCATGGCCATTGAGCAGGGAGGGGTCTTATCGTGCCAACACCTACAGTAAACTAACACAGAGAAAATGCTTGGTGCATATGTCTGTTAGATATACGTTTAAGTTTTTAGATTTTATCAAAAGTGTTTAAGGAAGTGTCGAAGGACCGGTCTCCACGTCCCACAATGGGATTCGACCCCGCGACTTAAGGATGAACTAGAGCAGACGATCCACTACTGTGCCATGCGACTATAGAGAAGAGGAGGCGAGGAAGGAGGAAAATAGATCTCGGTCTGCATGAAGGATTAAGCCAATCATATATACAATCTTTTTAAATTATTCTTTCTATAGAGAATCGTATCAACCAAACCTCAGGGTGTAATTTAATAAATTTATTTCACTGTATGTTTATACTGAAAATGCCTTTAGATTAAAAAAAATCATAAGCATAAAATTATGAATATAAATCTTCAACATTTCACCGGATGATCATTCAAAACTTGCAAAATTGAAAACCGTATGCATCAATAAACTACGTGTACAATTGATTGGCATCTCGCATTAAACACTCTGAAAATTCTACAGATATGAAAATCATTCACGGGCCAGAGATCTGAATTACAAGGAAGAAAATTATACCTATAGCTTGGCATGAAAGGGGAATATAGATGGATTGTTTTAAATATCAATAAATGTTTCATGATTTCTATAGATGAAGGATATGTATCTGGTAGAAGAAAGAATAATTAAGTCTATCCAAAAAAAAACTTCATCGATCATTTATAGAAAACCATAAGCTCTATGCGTGTTTTAAGAATATCTAAGGATTGATTTAAGGGATGTCTTGAGATGTGGAGAATATGAATAGAATATTTTTGAAATACTACGGATTACGGGATATTTCACACATTAATTTTTATTATCATATCTCTTCTAATTTTTCAGTATATAAATTAGATCGATGTGAATATTTCTCAAGAAATTGCTGTGAATGGAATTATCCTTTTTTGCAGTGCGTTTCAATCCAGTTGATCTGAAATCTTTCCAAATTTAACCTTCAAAATGGATATACTCTGTCTAGGCACTTTTAAATAAGTCAACAGATTTTTTAGAAACAAAATTTCAAACCGCTGAGCAAAAGCTTTTTTAATGAGTAAATGTAAAAGGACTAACATATAAAAAAATATTATGTTTTCTTTCTGTTCATTAAATAGTCATCACAGCATATATTAAAGAAAAACAAATGAAAATGAATATTTGAAAACATATTTTACAACTCTTTGCTGAAATAATCAATTTATGTGAGTACTTTCAGTAAGGAGGAGTGAGCAAGATTTCTTTAAACAGAAACATCGATCAGATAATTTTAGGTCGTCTTTGATCCGTGTGTATAGGGTATACACGTTCTCCAGTACTGTACATTTCATGCTTGGTGGTTTATATAAATTATCGTCGTTCTGTGGTAATATATTGTCTCTCCGTTACTGAAGTATCATCTTATGCTGCCATCCTTACAAACACGTGTTACAGCTATACTTTCTACGCCTCTCTTAAATCTGAAACGAAAACCACCAATAACGTACATTACCATGCATGATTTAACTTTTTTTCACGCAAAATATTTTTTTTCCTCCAAAGACTATTTATTTTAATCATTCAAGACAAAAACTTTTAATCATTATAGATATTTCACGAACAAAAGAATGGATGCGGGAGTTAAAAATCAGAATTCAGTGAAAATAAGATTAATTTAATTGAATTGATTAATTTAATTCAAATTCAAAATTCGAAATCATCTTTATTTTTCATTTATTGAATAATACTTATCAGGTTCTTATCAGGTTCTATCATCTTGATCGCAAAAAAAAATTTATTAATTTTCTTGAATATGTTCTCAATCATGTTTTCGAATTCATATTTAATTGATTTTAACAAAGCTTGATATTAAACCCATTATACCATATCGGTTTCATTTATTACAATAATATTCAACAAAGAAACTAAATTATTACTGCATTCAACTAGTTAGACAAGCATATCAATTCTGTAATCCTTTCCATTAAGATTAATTTGTAGGAATGAATTAATCAAATTTGCTGAACGAAATTTCGAATTGCTTTGCATTATGACAAACATTTAAACTCAAAAGTATAGTAATGTTCTGTAATTTTCAATTACAAGTATCCCATAAGCATGTCACACTTTCTTTTGTCATGTGCATTTATCCATATATAGAATGAACTTTCTGTTAAAGGATATTAAGTACAACGACGGAAATCCAGTTCAATGATAGAAAGTATTTAAAGTAGATTCCTTCCATGTTAAAGACTTTCCCTTGGAAAACTGACTCGAAGCATAGCCCCCTCCCCCTTCCACCTACCAACACACCTCCATACATTTAAAGAATAATGTTTGGGACCTTAAAAAATTGTTTCCTATAGGTCCAGCTCCAATGATTCTTACCTGTGAATTCTTTGTTTTCGTCTTGTTTCTTCTTGGACATTTCTATATCTCCGCTGGAAATTTCATATTCTGGAGGCCAATGGAGACCAACAAGTATTGTATAGAGAACACATCCTATGATAGCACCAAGGTGTGGACCAAGTATTGGGATCCAGAAGTACCCGTAATCTCGGTGGCTACAAACAAAATTTTAATGAAATATGGTTTAAAGCAATATCAGAAATATAAAATTTATAACATTTTAGAGAAAAGTTTGAAATTAAGATTTTTTTTCCTGTTTTTTTTTTTTGTGTGTGAAATACTTGAAATATGCTCACCATTTTAAAAATACTCGTTTCATTTATAAAACTTTTTTGATGATTTGGAAAAAAAAATAATTTAATAAGTGTTTACTGAGGCAATAACAAGTATAACACAGATTTCAAAAATGAACGGTTAAGGGGATTTTCATATTTCTTAACTCCGATATCACAACTTACGAAAAAGTACCGTCACCCCATCCAGCTGCCAATGTGAACAATCTAGGCGCTAAATCTCGAGCAGGGTTGATGGCATAACCACAGTTAAGGTGGTAGGTCATTCCAATGACGAATACGGCCAGCCCTATACAGATCGGTACCAGGCCTTTACTGGGGTTCATGTTTCGTTCATCTGTGATAGCCATAACACAAATCAGAAGAAGTGCTGTACCAAAAATCTGAAATAAGTCAATCAGAGCCTTATGCAACCTCTCACCAGAGGAATTTTACGCTCCGCTCCAACAAGTGAAGCTTGCGGAGCGCGCCCTCTGGTGAAAGATTGAGTCTTATGAGGTCCAATAGCTATGAAAATTCGAAATCTGCCTACGTTTCAACTATTTTCTAGACCACATTATGTTTATTTGCCTTTACTTTTTATTTGCAGAACTAGAGAGTCTGAACATATTCTCGCTCGGTCAAAACGGCAATAATGTGAAAATTTACTTTATATAAGAAAAGATTTTCGCTCTAACTCGCATTTTAACCCTTTTATAATATATACGGATATAACGAATTACGGATATAGCGAAGTAGTTTGTTGATTACAATAGGTCCCAGTGACTTCGTTATAACCGAGTTTTACTGTATACATTTCTTGGAAAGTTATTTTGCCTATGTTTAACTTATTGCCCTCTTCATGGTTCCGTCCTTGTTGATGAACTATGTTTTGAAACGCAAGAACTCAGGACTTTGGCAAAAAATAGTAAGTACAACTCTTCTAGTAAATACTCTAGTTCCCAAAACAAAAGACTTCAGCTTCTTCGTATTTTTTAAATTTGATTTCAGAGAATTTTTTCATGCTATAGTTTGGCTATATCTTGAAAAGATTCTTATGGATTTTGAAAATATATTTCAATTTAAACTCTCTTTACACCCTATTAGGCCTAGCTGCAATAATGTAGTCCTCTCCTTTTTTGAAGGGAGGGGGAGGATATCCTTCTCCAGAAAATATCAGATCAGCTACATTATTGCAGCTATATTAGGCTCATCATGGCATTTTGGCTCTTGGGCCATTTCAACAAACTTTAATTCATTTTATACACAGAGGTTTCCCCACAGTTCTACTGGTGCAAATACTGTGGTTAAAAGAGGTCTCCTGGTACTGGTACAGACGTGAACAGTTAAATTAATGGTGGTTACAGCAAATGCGCAACGAAATCTGATCAATATTCGCTAGGATAGCAGATTCTTATCTGTGTTTTCATCCTTTTTTTTCTTATTAATAAACTATAATTTTATAGATACTTATTTATGTGATTTTTTAGGATTGGTCCATGCACGGTCCTAATTAAAAGACATCTCTTCTGGGAAAGATAATTATCATAGCCGACTACCGATTTATCAGGGGCAATATCATCAGTAATTTACGGGCCTCTTTATAACAGTATTTCAACTTTAAATTTACATCACATGTATTCAAGGGCTTTCATAAAAATAATATACTTCCAGTCTCTTTTCACAAAACAAATATTGAAAAATCACATTCTCGACTCAAGATTATTGAGGCTGAATAGATTCATAATATTCATTTTTAAAATTATATAGTCTCCGGTGTAGTTATAGTCGTTCAATATCAATTAATTAATATGTATAAGTTCACAAAAAATCGCCAAGGATCTTATAATCAATTTTCTTTTATGATAATACTAAAAACATTGCTTAACTGGCAAACTACGTGTTTGCTTATGTTGATTAAAGTCTCAATTGTAATGTTTTTAAGATATCCATTCGATTCTAGCGATGAGATGTTACCAATAGGGACCCATTTTACGATCCCTAGGAGAAAAAGACTTGTATTACCCCTTTATTTAAAAAAGATAAATATCTTGTCATTCCAGTGATGGTCACGATTTTGTTCTTGATGGCAAAAATATCTGCATTTACATCCTAAGAGACCGAGCTGTCAATTAAGATATAGATGACTGATTCAGAATAAGAAATATTAATTAAACTCTATTGGAAGGAGAATCTTACTTGATCCCCCAGTGCTGTGGGGATAGACACAAAATCTTGGGGGTACGTGGCCCAGATTCCAGCTGTACCATTTACACCGACGACCATCCTTGTGCCTCCGTCAAAGTGGTCTAGGGCATCTTTAATAAAAATGAATTTTAATGAAATATTGCACAATTTAATTTATTTTTTTAAGTGTAGCCTTTGTTGGAACACATGGGGTTTCTATCCGTTGCATTAGGTTCACTGACAACTTAGAGAAATCCATTGGGTTTCGATGATGAATTGCATTTTAAAATTTTAGATATGTAAAGTACGATACCTCTAATGCAATAGTTATACACTTTGCGAAAAAAATAAATAGGATTAATAATGAAACTGGACAATAAATTTAATTATTAGTTATTTTGAGAGTTAAAAATACATTTATATGAAATATGATACCATCTCAATACCAAAAACAGCGTGGAATTATATTCAACTCACTTTACCAATATATATATATATATATATATATATATATATATATATATATATATATATATATATATATATATATATATATATATAAATGCTCCACAGTATTGCCCCAGCATGTAGACAGGAACTTTGTGCCAAGGGAGGCGACCTATTACTGCCATTGCTAATGTTACTGATGGATTAATGTGACCCCCTGTAAGAAATCAAGTCAAGTGAGAGTGACCTGCCCTTGAGGGTAATAAAAAATACTAAAATTTTATAGTTTTTATTTCTGGCAAATTTTAACAATACCAGAATTTTCATTATAGTATAAAGGAATAGTCTCTAAGGTCTAATTGAGCGCAATATTTTATCATCAATAATTTAAAACCTAAAATTTAACACTTGTATACTTAAAAACAAATTGATTGTTAAAAGACTTCATGAAACGTACCTGACACGCCCCCTGATGCATAGACACCCATCATGACGGCCACGCCCCATGACCAGTGAATAGAATGGGCGGATCCAACTTCTCCTTTACTTAGAACAAACTGAGCAACAGAACCGTCTCCAAATGCCTGGTTTAAAAAATATCATTTTTGAACTTACGGAGCTTCCTTGATATCTTTTTTACTTTTTCTTTTCCTTTTTTATTTGTTTGTTTGTTTGTTGTTGTTTTGGTTTTTGTTTTTGATTTTGCTACAACATCACTATAACAGTATCAAAATAAGCAAAATTAACATTTCAAATTCTCGCAGAAATACATTTTTTCAAGCACTTCATCTGTCTATTAGCAATAATTAGCTTTAAAAAATTATAAAACTTTTTAAAATGCTTCTTTATCTTACGATAAGAATGAATGTTCCAAGAAATTCCGCCAAGAATTCTCTGATCAGCTGATTACGAATCCGTAGCTTATTAGCCAGGCGATAGCCCATCCTGAAATACAGATGATACAGTTAGTAAAAATAAAAATGTCCTGGTGTAGAATTTGCATCTTTCTTTTCATTGGCGGATCCAGAGGGGGGCTTCCGGGGGTTGGAACCCCCCCCCCCTTTATTTTTGGCCAAGTGGAGAGAGAGAGAGGGGGGAGAGGATAAACGTTTTCAGAGAATAACTATTTATACGTCAACTTATGTATTGAATAGATATATATTCTCACACATATTATCTTCCTCCATTCACCTTCACTATCACTTTTTTTTATGAGAGAATGGTAGAAAATATTCTACTTATTTTTTATCATAGTACTGGGTTTATCATATATATGATATGTAACATGCGAGGTTTAATTTGATATTAGATTCCCGCGATCTTTAGCTGCATGTGTTGGATATGTACCGTTTTTTGATTAATATATCTTTCGAAGGAACTAATACGTAACTCTTTATTTTAAACCTCAACCACACCCCACCCCAAAATGTTTTTCAAATTCTAAAAGAAAATTCTTTGTAATCTTTCGAAATGCTGCAAATCCATTCAATTTTCAGGTTTTGGTAGTTTTTGAAATGTGATTCTTTTTTTATTCGGACTAGGGGTACCTTTTCAAAAAAAAAAGGGAAACAAAGATATTATTTACCACAACCTTAGATCTTTCCATACGTGTGTGTGAATCTTTGTTTGAGAGTGCGTAGGGGGGGGGGGGTTAAAGGGACACCACCCTGGAACCCCCTTTCAAAAATGGCTGGATCCGCCCCTGCTTTTAAACCAATTGATTGGCAACACAAGAAAATAGCTACAGAGTAAAATTATGTTCTTTCCGTAGGAACAGTATTCTAAAAATTACCAGACATTTAAAATGGTGCCAAAAAAAATCCAACATTGTACGTGTAAAACTTCTGGAGGAACCTTAAATCAAGCCTTGCTTTCCAAAAATATACAGTTACTTGAAATCTGAAAAAAATCTGAAATATATGGGGTTTTTTTTTGGTATTTTTCACTATTTAGATGGAATATTTGATTAAAAAAGCATTTTAGAGATGATACATGTAATGTGTGCTGGAGGGGGGGGGGGGGATTTAATTAGTATAGGGTTAGCTGAAGAGGTATTGATTTCTCATTTCCTTCTGCCTTGTCATTACACAAATCGTACAATAATTATTAATTTGTCGAGGACGTTTGCTTATTTTTTTAATATCTTCCAGGTGGTCCTATTGATCTGACGTCAAAGAGCTTTCTCATGGTTACCAGAACGAAACAATACAGACGGTTTTTCCTCGGCGTTGAATACACATCAAAATCTTAATGCATTAGATTCAACGACTTTCTTTATCGTTTCCGTGTTAATTAAAACATAAATGACGGAATTTGTAATTTGTAGTGCAAAATTATGCAATCATTATGTTTTGAAATCGTTTGTTTGGAACTGACGAATTCTATTATTTCATACAGACCAGAACTGACCTATCGGTAAATGAATTCCTTAATTCTGCGGGGGGTTTCTCGGACGGGCGTTGACCCTATCGGAAACGTGCATATAATTGCAAAGTCACAAGGGATTAAAAGATTATTGGGAATTAAGATTTCATTATTGTAATTAATTTGAATCATTTTTTTTTTAATTTGACTGGTCCGGAGTTAGAGTAGAACGTGACAAAAAAGATGAGGATTAAAAGGGAGACGAATGCACGGTCATCTACTTGTATATATGTTTAAAATGTAAGGTTGATGATTTTTGGGGAGGGGTGGGGCAAGTAGTGTACCTGTGAAAATTAATATTAGTGAGATTATTTTAAGAGGACAATATGTTATTTTATTTCTTTTCCCCAAATTTCATGCTTTCGACAAAGGATCTATGAAAGAGACGTGTGGTTGCCACAGACGTGTCAAACATGCTGCTCTAAACTCACTACAGAGCCGCATGGTGTGGTGGTTAGAGAGTTTACTCTAACGTCGGGGGTTCGAATACTAGAAAAGTGACGTGGAGACCAGTGCTTCAGATGAGAATGTGTAACCATTCAGCATCATTATGCAGTCACACGTTCAAATGCAGATCATATATCGTGTATTTCTTTAAAGTTCAAATCTGCATAACAATATAGATTTAACCCATGGCGGTCCCAGGCAAAATCAGATGGAGCAAATGCGCAGTTATGTTTGGAATTTATTATATCAATTTATTTATTTAAACTTACGTGGGTAACTATAATAATTAGAAATACTATGGAACATCTTCACTGTATATCGATCTATCAAAATCATTATACTGGCTCATGCAAAACTATTGTATAGTTTTCATTCAGTGACACTAATTTGAATTATTCAGGACCTAGTATGTATAAATTGGATGTCTGATTCCCACCCTTTCCCTCAGTTACAGAAAAATGATATATACTCTGAGTGCTCCCGTAGAAAATATATATTCACTTGTTTTTTTTCCATATAAGGATTGTCTCGAAAAACGACGCGAAGGATTCTTTCGATATTTTTTCCTATGAAGGGGTGGGTGGGTGAATACAAAGAGAATGAATTTTAAAATTCAAATTTAACATCTGCTATTGCGATCTTATATCTTATCAAAGAAACTAAGTATACCAAATGTAAAATAGATTTGAAAATCATAAATGATCAAGGGGGAGAGGGGGCTTGTACTATTTGCTCCTTTTTTCGTGTCACATGTCACTTTATTTATGCAAAAAATTGTTTCTGTAATGAATTAACGCTCTGAATGAAAGAACTGTTTCATCTATATCGCTACATAAAAAATTAAAAGGTCACCAGTCTTCAATAGAATTTACAGATGGTGGGCAACTTCAAAGCAACGTGAAATAGTACCTATCATTGTATTGTTCAAACCTTAGCAAATCTGTTATCTATAATTGACGATAAACGTTTGGAGACATAAGAAATAGGAAAGATTCTAGTAACACAGAAAATGGGTAGGGTTCTGATTGAATTAGAGCATAAACCATTGAAATTCGATAGGAAAAAAATATTATTAATAACAGTATTATTCTTCACAAAAATTTTTATACTTCTTATGCAATATTTTTACATGACCATTAATTGAAATATTCAAATTTTGCATAAAAATATCAAAATGTATGCATGACAGTTATATGAAAAATGTACATGAAAATGTCGCTTTTTACCTACCTACCTACATGTACTTTATTTCTAATCTTCTATAAGTTAAAGAATACACTAGAACTATCAAGACATGGTCAATTAATTTGACTTAAGCTAAATCTTGATTAGAACAAAACTGTCAGTCAGTTCACGTATACGGTTAGTATATGGCAATGATAGTTGGCACTAACACTGAATAAAACAAATGACCCGCATATGGTTTTATTTACTAACCTCTCAAAAGGAAGACTCAGATGCGCAATATTCTGGTAAGAAATCCATCTAATGTACTATTCCACATGAAGTTTAACTGATAAATACATTTAATGACCAAGAGATAATGTTCCAAATTTCTTTGAAACGAAGTGTACAATTTTTTTTTATATAAATAAGAAGAAAAATTACAAATGCATTATTCCACCGATTTAACTAAAATAAACACATGTAAATAAATAAAATTTTAAAAAATATATAAATGCAGGTAAATTTTTAAAATTGGGATAACTGGTTATCTTGACCTACAAAATTTCATAAAACAGTTCCGCTGATAAGAAGTTGTCGACATGAAATCTTACCTTTTTGAATGAAATTCCCTAAAACACACAAGTTATCAATCACACTTGTGGTAGAGTAGTAGCCGTATTGATAACGAGGGGGGCAATAGTTGACGGCCACTAGAAACCTAATCGAACGGAGGCTTTAGACTAAATGATTATCCGACGCTTGAGACATTCTCTCAATGCTTGGGTACAGTTGCCTGAAATCTCTGCACACAACATTTTATTTATTGATGTAAGTCAGCAGCGGTGAAACTAAGCAAATCGGGCATTATCAATCTTTTAAATTCCTTCTAATTGTTACGTAAATTACTTGGACATGCATGCAGCTTTAAGTAATCTGTAAATGCATGCCAACTGCTAATTTTTAAATCAATAGTAAAAGTCATATCATTTTTTTTTACATGTTCTTTTCCTGTGTGACAATGTTGTTTCGTTTTTCTTTCTTTTATTTATTTTTTTAATTAATGGTGCTTCCTTCTCGAATTGTTCTACGAACAATATAGACTATTGGTCAAATGAATAGGGGTCGTCGATTTTTATTCCCTGTCTCTTTCTCTCTTTCTGAGAGAGAGAGAGATTAAATGTAAGCCGTCAGTTTACTGTTTATGATACGCACAACTTTTATTTTCAAAAGTGCGCTCTGATAACAAAAGTATGTCAAAGTATTTGAGTTTTAGAGGCACTTGAAATCTTACCTGGCGAAGCAGGGACACGTGTCCCTTGTATCACTATTACCCCTCCTTTTCCGTACATCCTCCTCCTCCATTTTGTCCAATTTTTACTATTTCCCCTCAACTTTCAGCCTCTGGACCCGTTATCTCTGAAATCGAGTTCCTCTCCACGCATACTCACCATTTCCTTAGCCAACACATTGCTTATGGAACCGAAATATGGGGCAGGCAATATTTATAAACAGTACAACTAACTTTAAGTGTGAGCATCTAGCCTTGGATATTTAAGAGAAGAATGTCTTGATATGAAGTGTGCATGTGCATTATCTCATTTCTGTACCATATCCCCTTTTGTATGCAGAATTTATTGTTTTTAATGTATTGATTCAGAACGTTTGTAACTGTGCAGTTTCATGTGCAAATGCATAATCATATGCAATATAATATGAATTTAATCAAAGACTGTTATAGTAAGTTTTTAACAAAACACCTGAATTTTAAAGCTTTAATCAAGATAACAATATGAATAGCAATTCAGTTGTTTTGTTTGTGCACTTTCATGAGAAATGTTTCAGCATTTACATGTTTTCAAATTCAACGTATATTATACAGATGGTGCAAAAATGTTCTTTTAGAAAAGCTGAAAAAATTAATTGTAGTGCATAGCGGAAAATGCACATCTAGGTGATCATTCATGATTGCTCGGCGAAATAAAGAACGATAAATGATTGCTAAAGGTAACTCGGATCTCCTAAATCGTATACGTCCAGTTTTTTTGAAAACAAAGCATTTTGTATATACTTATCTGGAAGAACTCGACTTCAAACGTCTTAGAAAATTCGATAAAGGATTATTATCTTCTGGGGAAAAATCAATTTTTGACAGCAAACAAGTCCAACTCAATTTTATTAATCTAGTTGCTTATATGAATTCATTTCTCCTTACCCAGAAACTTCAAAGATAAACGTAGATATACAATTTATACAAACTCACTAAATGACTTTTCCACAGGCGTATATCAAAGGATTCCCACGAGAGGAGATTCAAATTGAAATATATGCATAAAAAAGACACTGTTAAATTCTGAGACATGGTAATGAGCCGTGGTTCTTAAATTTAAATTCGTGACATGATATTTTTTCTGATAAAGCAATAGTGTTCGATTAGAAATTTTAGAAATCTTGATGGAAGAAAATTCAAGAGTTATTCATAATTTAGGAAGATGCAAATATGTCACCACTGCAAATACTTGCAATTTGAACATTTTACTGGAACAAATAGGCCGTTATCTTGAAAAACACAGCTTGCAGAGTTCATTTTCCAGCTATATTTGTTAAAAATTTCATATCATAGGCGAATTTCAAAATGAGAAAAACTAGAAAAACAATTCTTTCGATTTTTTTTGAAGGGGGTGGGGGTGGGGTTGAAGATAAGTAAAGGATTGATATAATATAGCTTGTTTTCAATCTATAATCGGAATTAAACACGGGACATCACGATGACTTTATGAAACACTGCATTTTCTGAGACGATGTAAGGGATCGTGTCTAAAGTCATTATCATTATATCCCCCCTCCCTCGCTTGAAAAGTGGGAGAGTATATAGTGATCGGGATGTCCGCCCGTATGTCTAGCTGTCCTTCCGTCCGTCAGTTACGCTTTGGGGTATCCATCTTTTATCAGCAACTGCTCTTTTACCAGTGAATGAAATTTAATTATAAGACTTTCAAAGAATCTTTGTTACACAGTGCCATTGTGCACCTCCTATTTTACTTTTCGATCGGACAGATCTTTTGGGTTTCCCAGAGTAAAACATGGACACAGCCATTCTTTCTGTAATATTGAAGATATATCCATCTCTCAGCCGCAACTCTTTCTATGCCAGTGAATAAATTTGAATGATCCTCTCACATATTTTCTATTACACAATGCAATTGTGTACCTCCTATTTTACTTTTTTGATCTGACAGTTATTTCAGTTTTTATGTTATCTTAATTAACATTTCCTAACGAAACGTCTTTAAGAAACCCCTTTCTCTGATGCTAACGACGCAAAAAGCTCCTTGACCTTTGACCTGCACGACATATCCCTGAAGTTACCTTGGGGTGTGACCTGATGCAGGTAAAAATAATCAAATGTTAATCATGCATACACCATTTCTTAAAGCAGTTGATTAGAATATAAAAGGAATACAATCAGAGCAGTCCAATATAATGTTCATTCACCTTCTTTGCTTGTTTGCTCTGATATTCCGTATATATGATATCTTGGAAAATACTAAATTACTCAGCAAAAAGCTGATTCTGATTGTATAGGGCCTAATACAATCCTTTACCTTGGCTACGAATTCTCTGACTTTTCGAGTTCAAAAGTGACAACTAAATACTGAGTTGTATAACAGACAGATCTAACAAATTTTCCTTTCCAGAGGAAATGAGTAGGTCCAAATGAGAAATTCAGATATATATATATTGCCTAATAACAACGACTTTTAGCAATTTATTTGCCAAAAAAGTAGAACAGGAATTTGGAAAAAGTTAAAAATTAGTTTTTCTCATATTAAATTCATATTTTTTTCCTGAGGCAATTACGAAAGAAAAATGAAACCTTGTACCCCATGTAGCATATACACATGTACCAGTATGTATCGCAAGGTAAACTAAATACAGTATATAACAATATCCTTTTCATTCAAATGATACAAAATTATTTCCTTGATTTTTCAGAGCAAGGAAATACCTATGTCACATATGCATGTAGATCATAGTTACACTATAAAAGGGAATCACCTTTGACTGGCTGCAGCCCATCATAAAAAGAGCAGCCCATAATCTTCAGTTTTAAATCAGCCAGAAAATTGATTCAAAATATGTATTTTATTTATCAGCAGTAAGATACTGGACGGATATAATCAGATAAAACATACGTGTATAGCTTCCATGTCAATTATATCACATACCATCACACAGCAGTACATATATCAGCTGTAGGGTCTATAACAGTTCTATCACAGAAGTTACAACATCAAATTCCAAAATCCTTAATGGACTCTCAGAATAGGCATTCAGGTTGTTATACCCATCCCTCCTGGGGAAGATTTGGAATGGGCTCTAACCGGGCAGTGCCCACTTGGAATGGTTTCATCATGGATTCATATTTGATGGCACTGCTTTTTCTTTCTTCCTGCAGCCAGTACAACATCTCGATTCTGTCCCATTTTATTTTCTCTTCATATGGACGTCCCTGCAAGAAAAATCTCATTTAATTTGTTGATCTTTTGTAATGTTTTCCAGTTTTTATATATTGTACAGAATTGATTTTTTTCTCCCATATACTGTATATTACTGTTAGCAATTTGTATAGAGAAGATACTTGATTAGAAAGATTTATGATGTTTAAAAGAATTTAATTCCAAGTAATAAAAAATATCATTGAAGAGATTGAACTAATGACTTACTTTATGAGATACTTCATCTTTGAAGTGTTTCTTTATCACACTCAGTTCCACCTTTATTTCCTGATCATAGTACTCTATCCTCTGAAATCAACAGAAAATTTAATTATATTACACATATTGAAAATATGATTTGATTTGAAAAAAATTGAGCTCTCTTGTGTTTGAAGGTTGTAAGAGTTACTGCAGTGAGCATATGATGCGGATGACTTACCTTGTACAAGTAACTTCTTTGTTTTGCTTCCTGTAATCTTTTCACTGAACTTCCTTTATTTCCTAATTTGATAGATTAATAGATTAGAAACACATACACCATGATAGCAATAATAAACAAATTTCAGCTTCCCAAAATGTTCATTTTCCTACATTGGATAAAAAGATAAAATAATTATCTTCACCTTTAAAGGTATGTTTAAAGGTATTTCCATTCCCAATTATTTATCAAAATCACCTGTTTTCAAGAGTTATTTTTTATAGGTTAAAGAAAGGATAAATCAGTTAAATCTAGCAAGACAGAAGATATGTGTATTGTACACATGTTAGGAGTTATTATTCATATATCAATTTAATTCAAAAAGAGCTTTTTTGAAACATATTCATGCCAGATGGAAACCATTTTTATCAAACAGAAAAATTACCTTTCTCAAAGAACCTGTTTGGATCTGAAGCAGCCCTCTCGAATTTTTCCAGCTTTGCCAGGAGGTCTTCTCTCTTCAGTATGAGATCTGTCACCTTCTCCCAGTGCTCAATAGCCTAAAGAGAAAGTAGAAAATATTAAAAACCCATTGGATATAAGTGCAAGATTAAATAAAGTTTTGGAATATCTCACATCTTTTAATTCCCTATCATATATTACACTTCAGTGCGAGTACCTCGTAGAGTTTAACATAGTAGTCATTGGTGCTGTATTTAATGGCCATGTCCAGTTTCAGGTTGTCTGGCATCTCTAGTGACCCCCACACCTTCTCCAGTCTCTCCTGGGGGGTCAGGGTCACCTCCCCACTCTATAAAATAAACATTACATACAAGTTAAGGTTACTCAGTCTTAATTCTAAATGACCATCCAAGGCCAATGAATTGAGAGTCTAGCTCTGATGAAAATATAGGTTTATTTGGTTTGTACTTTAAATGTAAAAAAAAAAGTTTCACAAGGACTTGAATCACCAATATTGAAGGAGGAAAAAAAGTTTGGAATTTTATTTACAGACAGACATATTGTTATGAATTTGGTTTGTACTTAAAATGAAAAAAAAATTTCCACACGGACTTGAACCACTAATATTGTAGGAGGAAAAAAAGTTTGGAATTTTGTTTACAAACAGTTTAGAATTTTGTTTACAAACAGTTTAGAATTTTGTTTATAGACAGATTGTTATAAATTTGACCCTGACCTCCTCTGTGCAATCTGTCTCCAGCTTACTAATGGTGCCAGTCATTGTTGTCACTTTAGAGGCTCGCGATGTTGTAGCAATCTCTCTATCAAAGAATTCAAAGGAAATAATTTTTAAAACACATTTTCTCCTTGAGAATTGTCACTATCCTAGTTTGTACTAATGTGGTGTAGAAATAAGATTTTACATTGAATTAATTATCAAATAAAAGAGAAGATGTTATTTTCCAGTATGCCAGCATGTAATTTTTAAATAAAACATGTTTGTTAGAGGTGCTAAGTACGAAACAGTTGCAGGACAAAATGGGAAGCAGGGGTTTCTATTGATAATTGACACAGAAATTGTTTATCTTTTAAGTCTTTTTACAGGCATGCAGCTTATTGATTGATTTCCTTACCTTCCTGCTTTTTCTAGTTTTGCCGAGTGCCG